AGGGAAAGAAAGCGTGAATCTGTCTTTAACATGCAGGTCATATAAAGTATTTTGTTTTTCCATTATTTTTTCCCCCCTCTTGGACACTTCCAACTCAAGAAATGGCAACACGCACATGGCTTCCAGTTTTTAAAGCAAAGAACATAGTTCCCACGGACTGCGCTGCAGAGACAGGAAGAGAAGACATTTGCAAATTCAGTCTTTAAGAAAATAAAGTGTCCCTTTAACCACTGTGAACACTAGATAACAAAACTCGTTTGTCAGTCACACAATACATGAGGGAAGTTCTAATTCACCGCTCCTGAGGGCCTTGCATCTGAGGCACAGTACTAGCAGTACTGATGCAGAGAACCCAGTCTCTATGGAAGGGAGACACACCAAATCGCTAAATTAAGGCACAAGACAGATATTGCAGCCAAATACATAAATTCCCACTCAGCTGGCCACAGTACAGCAGCACTCCTGGCTACAGCCTCACCTGGAGTTTTTTCCTGCTGGTCTTCGTTACTGGCACTTGGAGTTCGACTCCTGATCTGGCTTCGTAGCTGCTCTATTAGTTCAGGATTCTGCTGCTGCATCTGCTGAGCAAACTGCTGGCCCCTGAAGGAGAACAAGCGACAGTCCCATTCGTGCTCTTACACACACACAAACACGGTCTGGTGCTGGGAAATTCTTTACAGCCGATTGTCAAAACTCTAACAAGTAGTTCACGCCACCAAAAGAGGCAGTACCTCACCCAACATTTAAGCCTTCCTCAACTGTTAAATTTAAGTTCCACTTCTGGTCAGAAAAACCCCAAAATCCATTTACTAACCAAGGCAATGGGAAAACACCCAGCTCCCTACTCACGCTTGTATGAGGCTGGCGAGATCATTCGTGGAAGGGCTGGTGCCTGTGGCTCCCATGGCGTTGTGGCCACCAGAAATCATCCCGGACATGCTGCGGAAGTAACGGCCTTTGCTCAGAGCAGGAAAAAACCCACAGAAGTTGTTTGGTTTATGCTGGGAGGGGAGTGTCAGCGTAATGGGAGCACCTTCCCACACAGATTAGGAAGTTATCTGCAAGGGAATCTTCTGCAACAACTTTTTGCACATTAACTGCAGAAGAGTAACTGTAATGTTAAACTGCACAAGATGTAGAAATATTTATAATATTATCAGTTACTGTATTCCCAGAGATTCCCCCTTTTGTGTGCGAGCCCCATGTTATGTTTATTTAATTAAAACACTGCCCTTCCTCACACAAGCTATTTGCTTGCTCTGCATTAAACAAGATCTACTGACAGGACAGCCTAAACACAGATTCGCTGATGGTGAACAGGCCAGAATACACTGGGCCTGCACAGCCCCTTCCTCTGGAAGTCCTCAGGCTGCATCTGACACAGAACCTCAGCTGGCAACAGCAGTGGAAGGAGCAGGCAGAAGCAAATGGAAATGATGGCTGACGTTCAGCCCTTCAGCCAAATTATCTCATACGGTAATGAAAGGATGAGCTCCAGAAGGTCTCTAACTCACTGCCGGCCTGTGCTCTGAAAGGATGGTCAGGAGAGGTATGCGCCCTATTAATTTTATGACTTTATATTACCTAAACATCTCACAAACATTGTGAATTGATCCTCATAACCCTGTAGCACAAAGAATGGAAATATTCTCATTCTAACTGAGATGGAGCTGTGAAATCCTGTCTCCAGGTCGCAAAAATACTGTGCAGCAGAGCCAAACTGACCCCAAGCTTCCCAAACCCAAATTCTCCAGTGCCAGGATCTATCCTGCCTCCCTTCTGCAAACATTTATACTAAGATCTCTCCTCAGCACAGTCCAGAGTACCCAAAATACACACTAGCTCAGGCAACTGGACTGGTTTAAAGGCTGCCCTCCATACTTCTGGCCCAAGCACCCTCCCGCTCCCACCAGTTCAGACCTACAGCAAATGCCAAACACAGAGCCTCAAACGAGCAATTCAAAGAGGAAATACAAGATGGGATCAAACTTACAGCTGTTGTACTTGTGGATTGTTCATTAGGTTAGATGCCTATTTAAAGAGGGGAGGAAAAAAAAATGACACCCTATTTAGTCAGAAATGACTGGGTAGATATGCAGATGTTGCGCCATTCAACTACAAACAAAGTGAAGGCAGAAATACTTGGAAACAGATCAATAGGACAAAAATAGCTAAGAGAAGCACAGTGCAACACACAAGACAAGGCTGGTAATGCAGAACAGGCACCCTTTCCACATCCAGCATATCGCAAGGAGAAGCCTGTGAATAAGTCACTGGCTCTTCATTTGACCTTAATGAAATACAAGCACAGTTTCCCCACAGCAACACTGAAACAAAAAAATGAAACGAAAACAAATCTGCTAAAGAGACATGGAGCTCCCCACGCCATGTACTGATACATTTCATCCTGAACAGACCAACGCACAGACCAGAGACAGCCTGGCTGTGATCTGTGTCCAAATTTACCATACTCATGAAGCCAGGATTGTTCAGCAAGCCAGCTAAATCGAATCCTCCTGGACCTCCAGTCTGCAAGAATAAGAGAAACCACACGCAGATGATGACATCCTGTCAGTTCCAGATGCATATTACAATGAATGTTAATACTTTACTCGCAGTGTTATCAGAATCTGCCCCTTAAACCATGACAAAAGGGAAGACGCTCTGTCCACACCCTTTCTGTAAAGCTCTGAGTCACAGCGAGCCTCGGGGGATTAGGCTCACTAAGGGAGCCAAAGGGCAGATGTCCGCATGACATGATTTACTGATCACCCCTCTCACCAGCTGAGCCACATTAGCGATGTACAGCTGTAACCCATTACAATTGCCAAGTTAAACACATCCACTTGGTCACCTCTGCACCAGAGAAGTCTTTAGAAAAATGAAAATCCCCTTCAAAATGATAAACTAACATGTTCCTGCATGGAGCATGTCAGCAGTGTGGTCACCAGCTTTCTGGCTAGGAAACCTCCAGGTTTCTTAAGAAAACAATCTTTGTAAGAAAAAAAAAGCCACCTAAAAATGCCCTTCTGGTATTATTAACAGGTCACTAAAAAAAAAAAAAAAAAAGCTGGGTTTTAGGAGTAATGACTTTAATTAAGAAAGGTGCTTAAGGCAAAATTGCCGGTTCAAAACACTCCTTTCTCAGTCTCATTTTCCAGCTCTTTCAAATAAGCCCAAGGTGACTGCGCTCAAGCAGTGAAGCTACCCTCTCAGGATTTTAGTGGAAATGTTCACAGTAGGACTCATTAACTATCTCCCCTCTGCCTGCATACAGGATTTGTATTCTAAACAGAACCCAGGTCATCAAGGCTCTCAGACAGCGGCTTCTAATCTTACCCATATACAACAAGCACTCATTTCAGAACTTACTGGGCTAGGAGTCTCCTTCATTTTCTGTTCAGCTATTTTAAGGTTTGATTTGTATGTGTCGTTGTCTGGATCCAGCTCCAGGGCTTTTTTGTAGTAAACAACAGCTTCTGTGTGTTTATTTAAACTGGAGAGGGCCAAGCTATTAAATTGGAAATAAAATAAAAAGTAACAGAATTAGGTAAGTACTTGCAGTCTTCCTCCACCCCCAGCAGAGGTGAAACACAAGGTATTTTTGCATGGCACTCCAGGGCAGAACACTACCGATAGTATCACTGCCACAAAGCATTTTGAGATTAGAATTCTAACACAAAACCCCTGCTCTTACTTACCCCATTCTGCCATAAGCTTTGCTGTAGTTTGGATCAATGCCTATAGCTCTTTCACAGTCTCTCACTGCTCCAGCATAGTTTCCTAGTTTACTGTATGCAGCAGCTCTGGAGGGAACGGAGAAAGATGTGCAGAAAAGACTTATCAGCTTCAATACGCTGATCAAGGTCACCCCTGTTCCCTCTCTGTAGTCTCCTGTTGTACAAGTCAAAGTCAAGTGTGAACTTGACATCAATCCAGGCCGTATCTAGGTGAGCAAGCTGCTATCCAAACACCCAGCTCCACGTTCCGCTCCTAGTGCAAATAAATCTAGGCTCTTACTCCTCCTTATGGACTTTCCAAGAGGAGCCTGGGCTCCGGGGAGGCACGCAAGTAGCACACTTGCTAGCTCAATCTCTCTCGGCTTCCCTTATGCCTCGATTTCTTAGTTGTAACGCCCATTTCATCCGTTTCCCCACACACTCTTAAGAGGGAAAACTGTTTTTGAAGCCATAATGTGTTCATTCAAGCCTCAATCTCCCAACTCTTACTGACATCAGGGCACCTGCCCAAAAGCCTCAAGGGACTGACCCTCATGCAGCTAAAGCAAAGCTTAGCTAAAAAGCACCAGTTGGAGCTCCTTGCCCCAAGAAATACCTCACCGTGTCATGAGCATGTGTGCAGACATGTTATTCATGTAGCCAGCTGTACACATGTACTCACAATAAGCAGGTAGCTAAACCAAATCCTGATTCAAAGTCTGTTTTATTCGACAACTCTCTTCCCACCAACTTTCAAACATTTTTGGCCGAGGAACTGAAAAACAGGAAATTTGCTTGTGTACCCAATTTTGCACACACCCCAACTTACATAAGTCTCAATAACGAGCCTTCAACTTGTCTCATTTCACTCCTTTGTTTTTATTTGTTTTTACACAGCCTCTCAAACCTGGGCTCTCTATCCCACTTAAAGTTAATTGCATGAAAGCAGACAGCATTTCTTGGCATCCTTATATCTCCTCAACTGCCTAACAGAGTTTGTTCCTACACCCACATCCTATCTAGAGATGCCAGGGCACAGAGCTGGCAGGAGGCACAGGAATGCATCACTATGAGCTTAAAAAAACCCAACCAAACAAAAAAAACACACAAAGAACTAGAAACAGAACAAACAGTCTATGGGATTGTAAAAAAGGGATTTTGACCATTCAAGAGTCTTAATTTAAGTCGTAAGAACAGAAACAGAGGTGTACAAGGGTGAAGAAAGATAATCAGTACCTGTTGCAAAAATACACAGCATTGGATGGATTTAATTCAATTGCTTTTCCATAGAAAGACACAGCAGCTTCGAAGTTTTCTGCCTTCATTTGTTCATTTCCTAAAGAGATGGCAGAAAGGCTCATTAACAAGTGAAAAATGGGGACAAACAAAAGCAACAGGCCCGGATCTATGTTCTACTTAAGAAAATAGAACAAAAGATAAACCAACCGCTTGCAACTTTTGCTGG